GCGGTTTGAACCGCGAATTTGTAAATGTAAACCACAAACCGCACCGCATAGTGCGGTTTAAAAAAATTACAAGCCGCAAACCGCGCCGCAAACGTCAAAAACCGCATTATGCGGTGCGGTTTGGTGCGGTGTGGGTGGTTTGTGCGGTTTATGCGGTTTGGTGCACACCCCTAGTTACCATGGTCACGGCTAATGGCGTAACGCCCCATAATGGCGACCTGGGGCAGTGTTCCGCGTTATGGCGCCGTTAAGGCGCGTGCCACGTCAGATAACGCGACGTTCGCGTTGCCCACACCCGATCGTCTTAAAGTATTAGCCCATTACTAGGTATCCACGTCATAATGAAATAGAAATGGCAATGATGAATTTAAAATTTAGAATTGTTATTAACATGGTAATTGTTAAATGAAATTGATATTGATTCTATCTTTTCTTCCTATTATTTATTATTACATCAAAACAAGTATCAAACTTGATAAAAAGGATTAAAGAAGAGAATTAGTGGATTCTACGTGTCATTGTTATATAAAGTAGGAAGATAAATATAAATAAATAGTAGAAGGATATTTAATTTTTCAATAAATAATGAGAAGTTAAATATCTCCTACAAAATCTTCCTACTTATTGGATTATGACAATTGTTACAATCAAAGGATAAGATGTGAAAAAAAAAATTAGTGAATTATATTTGGCAATCAATGAATATGCAGGAGGATTAAGTAAGAATCAATTTAATTTTCCATAAATAATATACTAATATCCACTCTAAAATTTAAATCTCAATATCTTTCTAAAATAATACCAACATCATCTTTCGCAAAACAAACTAGAAAAAATAAAATAATGAATAGTTTCCCTGTAGTTTAGGGGTGAAACAGGTTCAAACCCGACCTGATTGGACCCTGAACCGAAAAACATGATTTAGTAGAACTGTAAACCGATGTCGGTTCAATTTCATATACGGGACCAGATAAAATTGAACTAGAACCAGGAATGGCAAAGTGGGTATGGTGGAACCAGGTTTGGGGTTTTAGAACCGAAACCGGAATTTTTTGTTACTTTCAATTTGTATAGGTGGATATTTTGCACTTTTAACTTGTTTTCAAGGGTTGTTTTGTCTAATTTCTGTAATCGTGGGGCTGTTTTGGTACTTTTGCAGTGAGCAGTAGGGTTTTTTTTTTTTTTTTGATTCCATGCTGGAATACGATCGTAACTCGTAAGCAAAAGGGCAAACTTTATTTTTCTTTTTATTATTGGAGTACCGAATCGGCATGTGTGGATGGTTATTTTATTGAGTCCATTAAAATTCCGGGCCCGGTTCTTTATACCTACTTTACCCAGACCTAGTATACCCGACACACGGTTTAAGCTTATATTGATACCCGGCCCGGCCCACTTTAACATATAAGGGTTCTAACTGGTTTTGCAGCTCATGATCCCTAGTCATAATGTAGGGATATACTTGAATAACTCATGTCTTCTCGAAGGTTCAAGCCTTTTGAATGAAATACCAAACACTTTTGAAATTTGACTGAAAATTAAATTTAATTTCTTTTTAAGTTATGTTTTCAAAAATTTCTTTTGATATATAAAAAGTTTGACGTCACATTTAGCTCCTAGTTGTTATGCAAAATAACAACTAACAAGTTATGGCACATTTGACTGATGTCGATAGAAAAAAAAAAACTGTTTTTTCACTCAAAAATATGAAACAAGATGTGGAGAGGACTATATGCAAAAGACATAAATGGCCTTTGAAACAAAAGGGTGACAAGCTATGATCATCATGAAATAAATGTAGCAACTCAAGGCTACAAAAGCAAGCATCGATCTAATTACAGACCCATTAAATGTATTTCATAACCCAAACTCCCAAGTTCAAAACGGTTCATCACTTTCAGAAGAAGAAAAAAACAACTGGCTAGCCCGACTCATGACTCTCCTTCTTTAAACATCCCGCTAACCATCTCACCCCATCGGATGTCGTCTCCTACAAAATATGTTTTTAAAAATTAACATTTTATCCCAAACCTGCTGACATGGCACCAGATGATGCCATGTCAACAGACACATTAAGTAGGTGTTTACCTCTTGGATCGGCGGTCTTCATCATAATCCATTACTCCACCAGGTTCAGCGAAAAGCCCGTGCCCTCGGAAGTCCATGTCAGCCTGCTCACAGTTTGTAACTTCTGCCACATGTAAGTAACACATATCGACAAAAATATCCAAAGTATCAAACAAATCATTCCTTCCTTCCTATTTTCACTCTTTCATCTCCCCCCC